TTTTCACACAAAGGAACATGTCTGTAACTCTATCACCACCTCCTGGATGTTGGCTGCAGGTGCAACATATTTTTGGATGCTCTGAGGATGCAGATGTGAAAGAATAATTGGGGTCAAACCAAAAAATAGGAAACAGGAAGGAGCTTAAATATATAAAAATCAATGTGACTCTGACTTGATTAAAATACCAGATGGAGAAAGCTTAGCTCACTGCTACAGGCTGCAAAGCCATTCATCCCCCAGAGCCTGAGGTTATTTATGTAACAGAACGAAATCCTTTTTTTTCTTTTTTTGGAGGAGCCTTGACATTGAGCCTCTCCGCCACTAGATGGAGAAGTGGGACAGCAGGACCGAGAAGAATGGCGTTTTCTCCTCTGGCAGAAACGCTGGATTTCATCCCATTTCTAGGCTGCACGTACTCCGCTGTTGTGAAGCAGCCCTGAAAGCAGACAGCCTGGTTCTTCTGCGCGTCATATGATCGCTCTGGAGGAGAGCCAAGCAGGGCCCCGGTTTTTTTGGAGAGGAGGACGCATATCTCAGTCAACGTGCGGCAGCGGCAGCAGCCAGGGCCCCCTTTATCTCCACAAGGCAGGGAGGCGTATCCTTTTCCCCTCTGCACTCCCCTCCACATACCACTCTGACTCCCTCTCTCACTCCCTCTACACTAACTAGACTAACAACCTGCTTCAGACGACGCCCCACAGCCAGGGAGAGATTTCCACGGTGCCAAAGTCGCGCGTCGTGCGTCTTTTTTTTCGCCTTCGAGAGGAAGGTCTTTATCATAGTCGGGGGGCTGTTAGCGCGCATGAAGCTGCCCGCGGCATCACCTCAGCGATAATAACAGAAGGGGTGCCAGCCAAAAGAAGAAGGAGAAGAGGAGGAGAGGGAAGAGGAGGAGAGGGAGGAGGAGGAGGAGGAGGAGGAGAGGAAGAGGGGTGTTAGAGTGTTCCCGAATTGACGCTCAGAAATAAACAACACCTCGTTTTGGAAGACGTCTGCGGCGGGAAGGAAGCAAAATCAGCAACTGAGTAAGTCGTGATTTTCAGTGCTTGTTGTTTTTTCTTCTTCTTCTTCTTCTTTCCTGTGGCTGACCTGCTTTTTGGTGATTTGTCCAGCAGCTGGTTGTGCAGCGGCGGAACATTTGAGCTTGGCAGCATCCTTTTTTTTTCTCTCTCTCGCCTCTCGGACAGGAGAGGGACATGACATTAGCAGGACACAGGGATGGAATTCTAGGTGGGGAAAAATAGGAGGAATACTGGCTGGTATCCGTCTGTCTGTGCTGGTGTAATCTGTTACTGTAAACA